AATGGTTTCTGTCCCTGTTCCATCTTCAGGAACTACCTCCATTACCTCTCTCTTTCTCACAATCCCTCGTCAGGCAACCTCACTCCACATTCTAGCTTCACACGTGGCTTTTGTCCAGTCCCTTGCAAAGGGTTGGGGACTATCCGCAGGAGTAGCACTTCTGTTGTCTCACTCTGTCGGTTTTTCGTCCATGTCTGTATGTCAACATGAGTGGAGAATATTTCATCATTGGTCTATCTGGTATGAATTCTCCACTTCCTCACCTTCCTTTTCACAAATATCTGATTTTTTTACATGGTTGTTTAAAATGGGTCTGTCTGTTTCAACTATTGCACGCTTTAGGTCAGCCCTGTCATATACCTTTCGTTTTTTTCAGTTTTTGCTGCTTGTTTTTCTCTCCAATTATTTGGCATATACACCTTTAATCTCCTCCTCATACCACTCAATTGCTGGACTGGAATCTAAATGTTGTTTTCCATGCCATTTCCCTTCCTCCCTTTGAACCTAGCCTCATATTCCTTATAACACCATTTCTTGAAGATGTATTTTCTTCTCCCTTTAGCTTGTAGAAGTCTCTTGTCAGACTTGTTTGCCATTGTCATTCACTGCTTTTGGTTTACAAAACCTATGTCATTTTATATCCTGACCATTCCTTCCTTCTCAAAACATCAGCTTCTCACAAAGATGGTTTTGCCTTCAACCCTACTTCCCTTACTTCCATATTTACTCCCATTCTGATCTGGATTGTCTCCTGTGTCTAGTCTGTGTTTTACAGTGTTATGTGCCAAACACAGCACCCTTCTGTGTCTCTCACTCCCTTTCTTCTGAGTCTTACCAATTGTTCTGAGTTTCATCCCATCAGATCCATCACATTCCAATGTCATTGGCTGCTCATTTCCATCTTCCTTTGGAGGAGATTATCTAGGCCAGCTTGTGGACCACTCCCCACACCTTTGGGTCATGCTACTTCCACCATCTTGGTGGTTTTCTGCTCAGCTGGATATAATCCTCCCCTGTAGCCATTCTCTATACTTCAGTACAACTCTGAGTGGGTATGTTTTTTTTCATTGGCCTACTTTACATGTTATGGATCCCACTGTGTGGTGAGTAGTGCCAAAATATCCACACTGTGAGATCTATAAGGTCTATCATGTTCACTGTTGAGATGAGGTGTCCACAAGACCAGTTGCAAGTTCTTCCTTGCTGTATATTGTATCACTGATATGTACATACCAGACCATACACTGATGGATTAACATGAATAAAGCAGAAAGAGATTGCTGCCCATCTCTAACATTCCTTAGATTTCCAGAATCGGGAATGTACTGCTTTTCAAAATGGGGTTTTGTGGTCACCCAATGCACTTTCTCTGGTGATGTGTTCCTCCTGACTCTCCACTGCATTTCTCTCCCCTTCTTCCAGTGGAATACTGGAGTCCTTACCACTTACTAGCTCCTAGCTACTTGGAGTGGTGGATTATGGAGGAATCAGCTGAGAGTAAGGTGGTGGCATTGTGCCTGTGTAGAAAGTGTGACCATCCTCCTGCTACTAGTCTGATATTTTATTCCAGATGCCACAGGTCTAGATTGGATTTTTCTGTCTGTTCTGCAATTCACCCCTCTAGATAGGAACCCTCTTTCCTTCTGGGAACTTACTCCTACCATGGACTAGGTGTCATATTCCCAATGCTCATTTGTTTTGGACTGAGTGTTTTGTTGCAGGTTCTGCTGGATTTGCACACGTGGTGGTTTAGGTTCTTGAAACAGAGGCTCCTCTTCTTTTCTGATTCCTAGACCTGAGATGAATGGTTAAATACCCTCCTCATACCATGGACCAGTTGAGTTCCTCCCAGTGCCACTGGTCTAGACTGGAGTTGACCTCCTGCTTATGATGTGACGTGCCCTAGCCACTCTACATGCATTTCTTTTCCTTAGGGATTTGGAATTGTTACCTTGTTCCACCTTTTGATTATGACATCACACCTGTTGGCTCCACATGGATGAAGAGTATACCTGGTTCAGATATGGTGTGGTCTCACAGAAATGGGTTTCTTCACCATAGAGAAGATATACTCTATGGGTGCTCTTTAGATGCTTTTGAAGGGTTCTTATCTAGGTAATTTTACACCATTTAAAATAAAAAACACAGCTAAAATGGAATAGAAAAATGCATCATTTGTATTTTTAACAGTGGCGAAACATTCATTGTTTTTAAATGATGCATTTTTTTCTTTCTCATTTCAGCTGTTTTGAATTTTAAATTTTGTGGTATGTGGGATGCCTCCAACATTTATAATTTTACACCAGTCCCTCCATCTGCTCAATGTGAGATTCTATCTGTAACTGCGAGAGGAGGTAAGTAATTGTATTGGAAGTTAACATTTTTCTACACTGCAAATATAATTCTGATAGATGCTTACCTCTTTTCACGCTTCCCACCCATCCTCCTCACTTTCAGTGTAGGAAAATGCTAACACGGGCAACACATATTAGCAAACAAAAATGTTGGGCTTATTCATTTTTAGTAATTATAGGGGCACCAAGATGCCACAAAAAAGCATCATTTTAAGGTTTTTGACAATTACTCTACCTTATTTTGGCCAATTTACACGGGATTGGTACAAAGATACTTTTTTACAGGTCCCATACAGAGATATAGATATAGATTTTTCTAGTGTCAAAATTAGCTGTTAGGATTGCATAGAGGAGACATAGTGCATTTGCCCACAAATGTTGGCCTTTTTAATTTTATATTTCAAGTGGATAGTAACTGTTTTATAATATCAGTATATAATAACAATGGCCTTGTGTGAGAATAGTAATTTTAATTCAAAGCAATAATGAATTTTATCCTGATTATTAATAGCACTTTTAAGCAATATCTGAGCAACATTACAAAGATAATAATTTTAATATTGTCTTAACCCTTTGTGTACATAATTAAATTTCGGGTAGGTTCTCGAAAAGTGTCAGTTATCCAGTAACAAATGAAATGTAGAATTTGACTTTTGATATTGAAAAAGTACTAACAAAATCTACTAGTTGCGTTTTTGCTCTGTGATGTATGCATGCATGGTATTAAGGTGGAAAATTCAAGGATGTGTGAGTATTCTGAATGTCGCAGCAAAAAGGAGGAGAGGTCATCATGAACCTGACCCTTCCTGGTCCATCAAAAGATCAAAACACCGATTTTGAACTGTCACAGCAAATGGCCCTAAATGTCAAATCGGATAAGTCCGATTATAACATCCAAAGGGTTAAAGAGTTGGTGTAAGAAACATATGCTGTATACAAGATTCATCGTTTTCATTCTGTATGTTAAAAATGAACTTCATTCATTTTTCAAATAATATTTATAATATATATAACTATCTTTTGACCTTACTTTTAAGTCTCTGTTCGTTTGTTAATTTTCTGTAAAAATTCTTTCCGAAGAAACTTCAGTGATACAAGTCCTTTCTTAAATAAAACTAGTTTATTCTTTCTCAATACAACTTTGCAATACACTTAATTTCCACAGTCACACTATAAATTAAACAAACGCTATAATTCACAACGAACCAACGATTCACGCGCTTGACTCTATTGTCATCTCTATCTCTGTCTGCAATTCAATTACATTCCCATTGTTGCCGT